CTCGGGTATCACCTACGGGCTAGTGAAAGTTTTTACGGGTAAATTATTATCTCAGGAACCACGGGGTCTAGGAAGCTGAAATTTTAGGGTAATGACCCTTTGCCCACGCTCAACCTTGCCTATTCAAATTCAACGTTCTCGCGCTCTTGAGTGTCACCTAAGACCTCGTAAAAATTTTGGCGGGTAAACTATTAACTCGGGAATCGTAGAAAGATATCCACCCCTCAAGGTTTCGAATTCAGTTTTCATGCGCTGGTGCGTGAAATTTTTAACTGTTTTCCAGTGTCTCCTTCAAGGTTTCGAAATCAGCTTTCATACGCTGGTGCGTGAAATTTTTAACTGTTTTTCAATGTTAGAACTATTTTTGCATAGACTAAAGTACAAAGCAGTGAAAATCATTAATAGGCAATCGTTCGATGGGTTGAATTGCACAAAACGCATGATCACACCGGCTAGTCTGGTATTTATCTTGTTCAACATTTCAACCATTTTTGCACAGACCAAATGCAAAGCAGTGAAAACCATTAACAGGCAATCATTTGGTGGACGGAATTGCACAAAACGCATGGTCGCACCGGCTGTTCTGGTGCTTGCTGCTATTTATTTTCCCTCATTCCGGGGCGCTGCTAGCTTCCCTTGCGGTGCCAACAGCATTTCAAGAACAGGACAACTTTTTCTAGGCAATGTTTATGCATATATGCAAATGCAAAAACGCATGCTGGCAAGAGGCTGTCTGTGTGTTTGTGTGTGTCTGTATGTTAGCACTTTTTGTCACCTACTTTCAACTCGAGAACCAGAAATGCCAGAAGGTTGAAAGTTCAGGAATATATGCCTAGACCATGTGCGACCATCCCGTTTTAATATCATTACTGGGAAATGCCGCGTACGGACACCTCAAAAAAATATGCAAATTTCTTGAGAAAACGATCTCGAGAACCGAAAGGACAGGAAGTTGAAACTATGTAGGAGCATCCTCTGTACATGTGTAAGCTAAAGATTCAGATTCAGCCTCCAGATATGCATGGTCCTCGTGTCCGGGCACTTAAAAGTTTTGGCGGGAAAATGTTCACTGAAAAGCTAGGTCATTTACAAGGAAAGACCGCTAAACGGAAATTGTTCATTTTTCCTTTATGCAAAATTTACAGTGACTTACGGTGATGGGCGCATAAGGTAAGTGCTGATTTACATGCAGTTAAGGATGACCTGATTACTTCAAATCTGGTGCAAAATCGCATGATCGCACCGGCCAGTCTGGTGCGCTCCAGCCTGGGTTGCCTCGCCGAGTGCTCCACAA